AAGTCACTAACTTTATGGCCAATACTTGTAGTTCATGTTTGCTGGATGCAATAACTGTTCTTGTTTCTCTCTTTCAAACTCTAACTAGCTATTGCACATGCGGAAAGCCTGGGCTGAGAAGGACATGGTACTTCATCTGTGCCCCAGGTAACTCCCCTTAAGCCCAGAAGAGCTCTTTGATAAAACAGGAAGTTTAACCAAAGCCTCAAAAGTTGCAATCAGACACTTAAACCACAGCATCATTTTCTTCCACGTTTGCTTGCAAGAGAGACAGCTCTTAACCTCTGCACTTCCACTACCAACATTTGAACAAGAGCTCGGCAGGCACCTTTAGAGTTTTAGGCACGATTACTAAAACAAAGAGGATTAGGAGAAACTACTACTCTTACAAACCAATCTCCTGCATCCTCCTAATCGTGTCTTTTTTAGTCTCTCTCAGGAGAGAGGCTGCTTCCTGAGCCCTTTCAAGCATCCTGCACTGCTACTTGGTAACCAAATCTCAGGAAAAAACACACTGAAGAAACAGCGCCTAGTGGGGTTTTTGCTTCAAAGGGATTTTAATAGCAATTAGGTAGAAGACACTTTGAAAAGCATATCACATGCAGTCACAGGAATCTGCTACCGAGCCTAGAGGGAAGGGCTGAAGGATTAAGAGCCAGAGCAAAGGACAGAGTTACTGAAGAGATTCTGTTGAAGACAGATGTGCCAATTAAAGTACAACCTACGTGGAGGAGGAAATAGTATTGCTGTAGAAGGACAAAAAATAACTCCTTTCTTCTGATCAGATTATGAGCTGGTCGTTAAAAGCTTTCTGCCCAAAACATGGCATGAGGTCTTCTGGCTAGAATATTTTCATGACAACAATATTTGAAAAGAACACTAAACATTGAATAATAACTACAATATTGAAAAAAGTAAGAAAGGTCTGAACTCAGATGCAGCTCCTCCAAAATTCAGTGGGTTTGGTTCCCTTGGACATCATTCCTATAGAACTGTGAAACAGCTAAAGAAATCTTACAGGGAGCTTATAAGAAAGATGAGACAAACTTTTTAATAGGGTCTGGGGCAATAAGACAAGGGGTAATGGCTTTAAACTGGAATAAGGTAGATTTAGACTAGCTACAAGGAAGACATTTTTTACAATGAGGGTGGTGAGGCACTGGAATATGTTGACCAGAAAGGCTGTAGATGCCCCATCTATGGACCCATTCAATGTCAGGCTGGATGGGGCTCTGAAAACCTGATCTAGTTGAGGATGTCCCTGTCCTTGGCAAGGGGACTGAACTAGATGATCCATAAAAGTCCCTTGCAACACAAAGTATTCTATGAAATTATGTTCTTTAATTTTTACCTTTTTTTAGATGGTATTTTCTGAGAATGGAATTTCCTATTTTTGCAATTCTTTCATATGGGAGGAAAAAAATGATATTTGTAAAAACAATACAGAAAATTACTTTTTAAAACAGTTAAAGTATAATGAAATGATGGAGACAAACATGTAATTTGAGATTACTTTCAACTTTGCCTAATGCTAAATAGATAAAGGGAACAGATATGCCAAATAATTTCATACAGATCATGGCCACATGACCTTTTCAAGTTATTGGCAGATAACCCTGAAATATGCATTACATGCCCTGCCAAAACTGTTATTTTTCCTCAGTGAGGAGTTATTCACCAAAAAGAAAACCACTTTGTCAGCTCTATTTTTCTTAACTACAGTTACTTTCCCTAACTATAGTTATTTTCCTCTTGACTAGCAGTTCTACTATGCTGAAATTACTATAGCATTAGTCTTTCCATGTTCAAGAAGCATATTTACTATGCTAGTACTCACCTACTTTTCAACATCAATATGAAACAAATTTCAAAGTGAGTTCTAGCTTGTTGTTACTGTATTCTTGGTGAATGGTTGGAGCTGTCCAAAGCACACAAAAAAAGCAGTCCTGCATTGCATAGACTGCAAAATCTTCACAAATAAAGGAAACAGGTCAGTATGAAAGTCACTGAGACCATTTACACACATAAAATAACACAGATAGGAGTTCACAAGCTCAGGTCTAGCATACTGCCTTTGTTTCATGTTTAGTTGGATCCTAGACACAGAACCATGTGGTCTACTACCTGACTCCCTATCTTACCTTTGCAGTGTGAATTTCACAGAGCTAGTTCACATGTTGATTGTGGTCTTAATGTCACATACTGATCTCTTACATGTGTCATTATCTTTCTAATCTGCACAAAACAAACTTCATCACAAAACATCCATTCCTCATTGATCTCCTGAGAATAAGTTTGCCATAATCAGCACCCCTGCTAAATTATCCTCAACCTGAAATCAGCACATAGTCAGCATGCGTGACATGATGCAGAGTGAACTGCTGTGCTAGAAAATTTAATTGGTAAAGAAACCACAAATGGCAAATGAATTCACCAGGGTAAGATAGATATATAGAAATATGTTCATACATTGATATATGTATGTGTGTGTGTGTATACATACACACACACAGACTACCAACACTGAATGGAAACAGGACTATTCACACAAAACTGAAGGATCTACAAGTTTATCATTTGGTTATAGATTCTTTCAAAAAATATATTGTAGAAGAAAATAGGCAATGTCCCATACAGGTTCCTGCAGTTCTTTTTATACTGATTTCATGTTCTTGTCACAATAGATTATGAAAATGAAAATAAGCAATGTAATTCCACATGGTGAGAGTCAGTGCCTGTTACCAAGCCTGTCTCATCTTAGATTCAATAGGTGTGCCTGACAGTGCCTAAAAGTATCAAGTCAATAGTATGCCAGTGGCATCCCAAAACCTCAGGTGAAAAGATACCCACACCTTGTTTTTACCGGCTCCTCTGTACCTAGTACAGGCAGTGCCCACTGTCCCAGCTGCCATCAGATACCCCCAGTGCACTTCCACAACACTGAAGAAATTATAGAATCATTTAGGTTAGAAAAGACCTTTAAGATCATGGAGTCCAGCCATTAACAAGCAATAGGACAAGAGGAAATGGCCTCAAGCTGCACCACGGGAGATTTAGGCTGGGTATTAGGAACAATTTCTTCACCAAAAGGGCTGTCAGGCATTGGAACAGGCTGTCCAGGGCAGTGGTGGAATCACCAACCCTGCTCCAAAACCGTGTAGATGAGACCCTCAGTTACATGGTTTAGTGGTGGACTTGGCAGTGCTGGCATCAAAGTTGGACTTGATGATCTTAAAGGTCTTTTCCAACCTAGTTGCTTCTAAGATGGTATTCTGACAAACAAATAAAGAAGCCATGTAGGTGTTTTAACCATTCAGAAGTGTTTGAATCAAATTTCATATCAGTACTTCATGTAAAGGAAAAAAAACACCCCAATCTAAAGATCATAACAAAGTGTCTAGATCTGAGAGGTATAAAGACTGAAGACTGAACATTGTTTTTGTAATGTCTGAGCATTTTATAGCAATTTCCTTTTTCAGAGGGCAGTTGTTGTTTCCTACTCATAGAGAAACTTTTTAATGAGCAATTTTGTTAAATAACACGGCCATAGTATAACCACAATGCTGGGAAACCCAGATGGCAGGCCAAAAGGGATCAAAAAGTGAATTGCTTTAGAGATAAGGCAAAAGTTTATAATAATAAAGGACAGTTAAGTGGGTTATTTAAAAAAATAAAATAATAATTAAAAAAAATCAAATTATTTAAATTTCTTTTCCATCCTCTAAAGTAGTCTGCACTTCACAAGCATTTCAATGTAGTTAAGAAATATTCTATTAGAATTTCCCTCTAGTTATATCAGTCTCAACCTAAAGGAAAAGGATGTCAGCCTTTCCTCTTCCTCCTCCCCAGTGTTTAGGAATATAGCATAAGAGTCTACAAAATAGCTACCATGGTATAAATATCAGTGGTCTCCCAAGAGTAACATGTCACAGGGCTTCCAGACATTTCACCAGGCTCTTCCAGTTCTAATGTTACATTAGGTGGCATGCATATTTGAAAGACAGGGGCTAGGCCTAAATTTAGGACTCTGTTCCCATAAAGAAATAGGGTCCTATAAGGAAAAAGGGGGAAAGGAGGGCAAAGTACTTGTTAATTTGATTGTATAGGATGTGACTGAAATTGCTGGACATTGTATTTTCATCTTAGAGTTGGCATTCAGTTTTTTTTATCATGGGAGGTTTTTTCATTGGTTTTTGATTTATCTTCCACCAGATCTCTCTTTCACCTTGTCATAATATATTGAGCCATCAAAGGTACTTTTTCCCCCCTACTGTCACACACAGAATTGTTTGGATGGGACAGCAACTGGTCTACACTGCCTTGCCACAGTCCAAATTCCACCTTCAATTCTTAAGTTGCATTCCAAATGAAAAGTCCTACTCAAACAACAGCGACACATGATGGCCCCATATCCTTACTTTCTTACTTGTCTTTTGCAAGAGTTCTGTGCTCTTGCCAGCACTGGAGTGATGTTTTAACAGTGAATCTCATGTTTTCACTTTCTTTGAGTAATCTTTCATTTTCTTCAGACTACAAGACCAGGATGAGTAGGTTTACTAAACTGCCAACAGGCTTTTTCCCCCTTCCAGCAACACGAATGTCTTTATTGTTCATTAAACGCTGTTCTGCAAATACTGGCCAATAGTACTTCTGTAGCGTTAACATTAGAAGCCTGTAGGATTCTGCAGATTATGTAAAGAAATAGTTTGTATTGTTGTACTCCAGCATTCCATCCTGTTAAATCTATTGATTTAATAAAACAAGCGACCTAAATTCTTCCTTTTTTCAATCACAGCAAGGTGTGCCAGTAGGAGCAGCCGTTTTCATTGCACGTTCTCTAGACAGAGAACTCATAATTCACTGTCTGCTTAAGGAGCTCTCTAAGGAGAGGATTTTTACTTCTTCGTCTTGTTTGCTCTGTTGGTTGATTGGCACGTATCTCTGTATATAACTATATCTATGGCACAATGTTATAATAGCAAGGAAAACAAAATTATTACCTCCGCCTGACATTTCATCAGCAGTACTTGGGAAATATTGTCCCTGAAAAACACAGAACAGGGGGTTACAATTAACGCTAAGAAGTGTTAATTAGACAGAGCTGGAATGACTTATTATAAAGCAGAGGGTATTTTACTTTTCCATATCTCACAACAGTAGAGCTTCCTGAGTGAAGTCAGGGGCTCTGCTCATGCAGCTGAAAGTGAGGAAATATATAACCCCTTGTTGCTATACTTTATCACCGAACAAGTACTTATTAACAAGCATATTCTTTGGCACATATTAGTATATATTCAGGACACAGGGCCTCTTCTGTCATTGTTAGAGCTCTGCTCTAAACTCTGAAGAATTTGACACATTTTAATGAATCAAGACAGAGTCCAGGAGAGCTTTCCTGCAATAGAGATTGCACGCTTAATTAGGACCCTTATTAAAAATAAATACTCAAGTAGCACAAAAGTCTGCAATTCAAGCTTTATGTGTCTCATACTGAAACTGGTGACAGTCAATATCAGTCGTCACTCCTAAAAAACAAAATATGATAAGTTGGTTTGAGTTACCCAAGGTCATACAGTGTTGGTAAATCAGCAGCAGGATTTAGTACACAAACCAAATCTTCTGAGACCCGAGTGCAGTTTTCACTACAAAACCTCACAGCTTCCTTCATTTGCAAGGTCCTGGTGCTCCTCTGCAACTGCAGTATCTCATTCTTATTCCATGAGAATAATCCAGTGAAAGTTAAACAAACCAACCTGCAAAGAGATAATTGTACCTTCCAAAAAACTGGATATAAGAAGTTAATATGCTTCACTTTGAGTGTACCACACTCACCTGAAGCATCAGTTACACTTATTTCAAGAATCATTTCATTTTCAGGTTAATCTCAGAACAGAGCAGGACCTCACCCCCACTGAGCATCAGCAGCATGTTGCTGCCACAGGAAGCACTTCAATGCCATGCATCCTGATTCAGAATGATATTCTGTGCTTGGGTCTATGAAGAAACAAAGGCAGCTCTTGCCCAAGTGGGTCCAGAATCTATGAGTATAACATCCAAGAGCCCCATTCCAGAAATTAAGCTGAGAGGAAAACAGCTAAATCATTGTCATTTATGGCAAAATAAAACTCAGTTACCACCAACTAGTGGTATACACTAATAAAATAATTTTATGGTTACTGTTGCTCATAAAACCTTCAAAAGCTTTAAGAAAAATAGCTACAACCTGTTCTTTCCAAAAATGAGAAGCAATACTTGAAAGCCAAAAACCAAAATGGTCAAAAAAGTCACCTCTAGGCAAAATTCAAATAAATAAAAAGCACAACAGTAATCTGGGTGGTTAAAATTGCAAATATCTCAAATTCAATATACAAGCTGAGGATCTCTCTAGAAAAGAATATGTTCTCTAAGGACACAGTCATACAGATTAACTTACGTTATAATAAAGTTAACCTTTGGATAGGAGGAGCATTAGTTTCAATTAAGGCTATAAAGAAGATTTGTGATACCTTAAACATCTACAAAACAAGAGACAGTCAACAAAGATGGCTCTGTGCAAAGCATTTACTGAAAATCACCAACAGGATCCTTTTTGCTGTTGCATTTTGGATGCCAGATGGCTGGAGAGAGTTCCAGCAGGCAATTTCTTAATGAGAGTGCCTCTGCCCAATATCCTCGACAACCATCAGATGCAGCATCTACCCTGCTGAGGCATCCAAGAGAACCAGACATTTTACCAATGATTTCACGAGGTCAGTCTTAGCTTTTTGTGGTTTATGAAACACCATTTACTGTGATTCAGTTAGACCCATCTAATCAGGACTTTTAGACATTTCAGTGATGAGGAATAAAATAACATGGGAGATAGGGCTTTTAGGATAGCCTTAGCTCCTACCTGACCCTGCTTGTAAGAGCACACCTACCACTCATCACCTCAGACTTATAGCTTAATAGAGCCACTCAAGAGCCAAATGCACCATTTTGCCAACCCTACTCTACAGTTAGAAACAATCCTGCTAACCAAGCATGCAGACATCTTCATCTCACACAAGTTTCAAGCTCTTTCTATATCAAAGACGTACATATCCTTGCTTGTTAAGATAAAGCAAGTTGTACCTTCAGTGACCAAGGTACTAGACATTGAAAAATAGATGAGCCTTCTCCCAGGAGGGAAATTAGAAAGCCAAAGTGAAACATGCACAGGATCCCAGTGGGGCAGTTAACATACGTTTCGGCCTGGCACTAAAATCCGTAGGCACTGTCATGTAACACTTAGGAAATAACTTGATAATGGTGAAACATATCGTAATGCCTTTGCCAGCTTCTCCAAGTGTCTGCCATGGTTGTGGGGTACATCCTGAATATATTGATACCATTGCATTCCCAGTAAATTAGACTTGGCTTTACTCATCCATTTGGTGCAATTTGGGCAACAGTTTATGCTTGTAAGACACATGATGGATTAATTCTTCCCAAAATCCATCAAGTCATGTACTACTAATCGTATGTTCTAAGATGCTTTCCAGTGGATGTGAAAAAAACAAATTCAACCAGTGCTTTGGAATCCTTTCCACCCATTGAACAGGAAAGTGGCTATAATGTAATGCTTGTAGAGAAGAGAGCCTGATAGCACCTCTCTAATCCCTACTGGTCAAGGTGAAGCTTTCCTGAGGAAGGGTACAGATTTGAGCAAGGAGCTAGAGCCATGTTTTGCCTGCCAAACCTACTGGACCATTTTCCCACTCTTGGCCCCACTGCATTAGGATTATTTTCTCTGAGCCACAGTAAAGCTTCACAATGTGGATAAAAAGGATGATTAGAGAAAATAAATGCAATTCATCCCCCTAAGTAGGAAAAAGCCAGGCATCTTGTAACTTCATTCTACCACGCTGGACTGAGCACTGCAGTTTTAGTCCCTCTTCTGTGTGCCTGATCATTTGCCATTTACTCCTATTGAACTGGCCTTAATTAGATTCTCCTAACCAGTACAAGATATCTGACTCTCCCCTTACAAAGCAAAAGCTCTTTAAAGTATAATCTCCACTACTGGCCCCATTCGTTTGGCTGCAAATATCTATGGCTAACCTTTCAAGCAGGAGATTTAGAAAACTGAGGAAATCCATAGGTTCTACCCAAGGTAAACCACGGGCTTCCCCAAGCCATGAAAGGAAATCAATATCCCATATCCTGCTTACAAGAAAGTGAGGTAACATTTTGATACCTTTGTTCCCTATAAAGCTGTTTCATCAGTAAGTCCCCTCTGCACAAATCCGAGCTCATTCTCTCTTTTCATGCTGCTGATGCTACCCTTGCTTAGAAGCTCCTGGTCCCTGGATCCAGCTCCCTTTAGCAGCGTTTATACCCTCCTTCTTCCCCTAACTCCAGATCTTGGTGACCTGTAAGCCCTTTTCTGGATCTGCCAAGTAGTTTATAAGGGCCCTGCCTTGTCGGCCCTGCTTCTGTCTTGTTGAATCTGTGAACCTCTCCTATATTCTGGTCCAGGGCTAGTACCCCATTTCACTTTCAAACATCTGATTTGAGCAATGACCTCAGCATTTTAAGGGCAGCCAGTCCTGTTAAATCTCTCTGTAAACAGAAACCCCAAGCAGATCTTTTTAAAAGCCTTTGTAATTCATGCTTTCCATCTGCCTGTCAGACCACACGAAAATATCCACTCTCTGTTTCTGGTTTCTTTTCCATTTCCCTCTTCCCCCCAGGACCCTGCCCTGCTGTCACAAACCTACTCAAATTTGCACAGATCCTGCCCATCTATTACATTTGCCCAGTTAAATAGTCAGCTACTTCCTGAAGATGCACATAGCATATTTGTAATTACTGGTGGGTAAGAAAATGTGGGTAACCTGCTTTCAGTGGATTTCTACATCCTTTCCTTCCTGAAATTCATCTACTCTTTTACCCAGTCTTTTTTCATCTATTCATATACCGGGGGGGGGTAAACACAGCAATTTTGGGGAACTGGGAAAAAACTACACAAAAACCACCTTTAGCATAACTCTTACAGCACATTAGCAAGATCCAAAACCAGAAAAGATGAAATGCAAGGCAAAAAACCTCTTCTGAATCCACACTAGTTACAAGTATACTCAAACTGATAACACGTCAAAGGATCTATCCTTACCCCTCACAGAGACCTGTATTACAGAGCTTATTTAGGCAGAGCTTCTGTGTGAAGTTAGGAATCAGAATGTATCCCACATATCACCATCTCTTACAGAAAATTAATCCACAAATCAGAATATAACAAGCTTTTGCTCTTCCACACCATCGAAACAGGGTTGTCAGGAAGCAATGTTTTTCCCCTTATAGTTTAGAGTTTGCAAGGAGTTAAGATAAAATCTAAGGTAAGACTTTAGCTCCCACATACAGGTAAATCCAATACTACACAAAACAGCATTCCAAACAGAATTATCCCCCGGGGGGGGGGGGTGTCTCATCATGCCCTTGTCCACATCTGCCAAATTCACACCTGGGGTGAAGAGGAGCACATGTTTATGCTAGCATTCGGATAGAGCTGGCCTCAGACTTTGGTTAGAAATGGTTAGCACACAGCCTTTTGCCATTAAAAACTATTGGCAATACCTTCTTGTCTTTAAGCATTTTCATCTCCCTTGATGCACTTGCTTTCACATGGACAATCAGTGAGTCACTGTAAAAACACCCATCACTATTTCACACTGATGGTCACTTGCTCGAGCCTCAGCTGGTGTTATAGGTGTACATGAAGTTGAAACTCCTCTACAGCATCTGAAATTAAGAGCTTCTAGTAGTTTCCACGAGAAGGTAAATCCTGCCTCATAGTACCACTTTACCCAGCCTACACAGACTATAATCCAGTCCTAAAGGCTCCCTCAGGAAAGGCATGTTACCACAGACTTAATACAGGTCAAGGAGCTGCCTCACGCTTTTCATGCATATGGCTGTCCTTCAAACTCAACCCCAGCAAGTGACACAACATTTTCATTGCGCTTTCCTAATACAGGCATTAAGATCTTGTTTTATGGATTCTTAAGTGTTCCCACAGACCTTAATCTGAGTTCTCTCATAAGCCTAAAACCATATCACCCCCCTCACCCTGCTCTTCTGTGCTGGAATTTACTCCTTTAAACATCTACCCCGCTTCTTTTACCTTCACCATTATCCAGCAGTGGACTTCCTTGCAAACCTGCCTTCTCCAGCTGTATCACCTCACACCTTACCAGATCATCCCCCCCACCCTTTAACCTCTTCCACCCCGGCCCCATCTCTCACGTTAACACCACCCACCTGCACCAGCACCGCACCCTCCCTCCCATCAGTAATTGCCACCAAATCCAGCAATCAGCCCCACAGCTGAATAGGGAATTCAAGGATTGCCCAGCTCCTGGGGTTCTGCTGGCCCGGCCCCGGCTGCTCCCGGCATTCGGGATGGGGAGCAGTGGGCATTCTCCGGCAGTGCCTTGGGTCAGGAGCAGCTCTGTCATCGATGACTCGATTCGCTAATAACATAGAAATGAGGGAACTGGCTGAAAAGTAAAGAGGTTTATATTAAAACATCTGTTAAAATTCACTTAATTTCGTTTTGGTGCAAAGAAGCTCGTTTTGGAGATGAAATGTAAAGAAGCGCTGTGCAATTTCAGGGTTTGGTTTTGTTTTCTCTGGGGTTTATGTCTGGTTTTCAAACTTCAGCTCAGCAGGCGGTTGGAATATTTTGCGTGTGGTTTGGTTTGGGTTTTGCTTGAGGTTGGGGCTTTTTTATTGTTGTTGGTGGTTTGGGTTTTTGCTAAGAAAAAGGCAGAGGAAAACAAAAGGGAAAGTGGGAATGACCGGTAACAAGGCGAAACCAATTTTTGCACAAGGTTTTCCGCATCATGTTGAAAGCCGGGAGGTGGAAAAAGGAATGAATTATCACGCTCCCTTAACTGACACTAAAAGCAGAGGAAAACATTACAAACAGCCAGTTTCTCTCCCGTTCTAACTCCTGCTCCACTCCGCTGCATCTGTTGAGCTCTAGGCCGACCGCCGATCCCTGTGTGAAGGTTCTCGGTCAGCGGCCGCCGTGCGTTGCCGGCTCGTCCTGCGGAGCCGCTCCTCCTCGGTTTGTTCCACCTGCTTAATCACATTTAAATATATTAAATACTTTCCTATTGTTGGGGAGTAGAAGTGATTGCTGCAGTTGCTATGGGGACGTAATGCCAGCATGGGGGGGGGGGGGGGGGGTGCCCGCACTACCAGAGGTGTCCCTTTTCTCTGTCCTGCGCTGCGCTCCCACTGTCGAGATGACCCCGAGAGACAGACATCCCGAGGGCTCGTACCGGGCATCACGATGATGTGATTTACCCAGTGGGACGGGTAAAAGCCGTTTTCCTGGGAGCAGTGCCACCGTGGGCCCGGCGGCAGCGGTGTTTGCTCAGCGCCGGCCCGCGGGCGGGACGGACGGAGGCACCGGCCCAGAGGCCGCCCCGCCCCGATGAGGGGCACCGGGGCCGGGCCGGCCTTCCCCGCCCCTCAGGGGCTGCGGGGCGGTTTCAAGGCCGGGAAACGCGGCATCATGTCCCGGGACAGCCGTGGTGGCGCGGCACGGAGGCGTCCCGGGTCAGCGGGAGAACCGGGCCGGGGGTCGGGTGTCGCTCCTCGGCCTCCAGCAGAACAAGGCCCGCTGGAGGGGCTGAGGGCCGGGACGCCGTATCCGCGGTACCGCCGCCCTTCCCCGCCGCTGGTTGGCCCCGGCGGAGAGGCTGTGTTGCCAGAGGAGCGCACATCGGGGCAGCTGCGGAGCAACAGGCCGGGCCGGGGCCGGAAGGGAGGCAGAGCCGGAGGGGAGCCACCCCGCTCCGACACCCTCTGTCCCCGGGGCCCCGGTAGTGAGTCGGGTTTGCGGGGAGCGCTTAGAGCAGTTCTGGGGAGAGGCGCCCCTGTATTGGAGCGGGGGGTAGCGGAGATTTCCCCCGTCGTCTTACAAACAAAACAACCGGTCTGTAAAGGCGAAAGGGACACATCACCCTCTGCATCTCCCCTTCCGGCCCCGGCACTGCTCTCCTCTCCGGGCTGCCGAGGCGGCCTCGCAGCGAGCAGGGCGCAGAGAGGTTCATTTTAGGTGAAGGAATGTCATTTCGCTACTAAATGGTTAGTCTAATTTGATCTTTATTATGCCGTGGATTAGGGTTGATTCATATTAAACACGAGTGCTGTTAATACAGCGCCGGAACGTGTCCCGCTGTACGTACAGCCGCCGCGGCTGCAGCCCCGCCGCTGCCTGCGACTGGCGGATTAAGATTTAATTAAGAGGGAAGTTCTCTGGCGCTCACCGTAGCCTCTCCACTTCAGAAATAATTTATACTTAGCTCCGCGGATTTTATTCAAGTGATAGCATTTTATTTTACTCTAAAAGGGACCTGAATATTTCATGCTGTGCCAGAGGCTTCTGTTGTGCGAACCTCTCGCAGGCAGCTCCAAACCCAAGGGGTTTTCCACTTTTAATCTACGGGAATTACCTTAGTAGGGACAATGTATCAGATTCTCTTACCCCCTCCTCCTCCCCCAATTTAGCAGCCTAAACTATCCATATGAAAGTTAATCGTCGTGATCCCCATTGTCGGCTGTATAAATCCAAGCTCAAGCCAACCTCCAGGACACGGCAACAACTCTGATAAATTGTCCTGCTCGCCTAACTACACAAGAATGGCTTTTATAATTAAAAGGGGGAGCTGAGTTAAATCAACAGCTCCTAAGCCCTTCTCAACAGAGCTAGAATGGGAGAAATGTGGCGACCTGATTTCTTTAAGTAGCAGCTCTTTGTAGCCCATTCATAATCCCAGATATGGAAACCCATCCTGCACAAAGTCAGCCGCCAACCGAAAAAAAAAAAAAAAAAGGGGGAAAAAGGGGAAAAAAGTTTATTCAGATGCTCAAAATCCACCCTTTTTTTTTTTTTTTCCAGTCTAACATAACCCTGGCACTTTATAACCAAACAGACAACTCCTTTTCCAATTAAAGTGGAATTAGGAAACTCAATCAAATTAGCTCACTATTAAAGTCCTTCTTTATTAAACCGTTTTATTGTAGTAATATTAAGTTTCACCCGCTCTTGGAACACGAGACTTTTAAAAGTTTCCCTTGTGATATTGATTTGGCTGCTCCCAAGACGGATCAGGGTCACAACTATTTACCTAGGTGGAATCTGTAATATTTACTTTTATTATTACTATTATTATTATTATTAAGAAAAATCTTAAAATTGTATCCAGCTTGATCGATCGCTCGAGGGAAGGAAGAATTGCATTTTACTTGCCCTTGTCCTTTGATTTTACCCAGGGGGGGTCCCTCAATAGCTGCGGCGGGACGGTCCCCTCCCAGAGCCACCAGTCCAATGACTGGTTGGTAGGAGCCGCGCTGTCAGCTCCCAGCCAATGTTTACACAGTTATATTTGAAGTGAGAAAGTAAACAGTCCAGCTGTGCCACGGAGCGGTTCCGTGGGATTAGGTTTCCATACCAACGAACTTTAGGAGCTTTTACAGTCTTAATTCAGCCATGCACTTAACTTGTTCTTTGTGAGTAATAGTTTTCTTGGGCCAAAAACTCCCAGGACTGGTAAAAGTCGTGCTCCGGCTTTTGGAAGCATCGCATCGCTGGATGCAGGGGAAGCACGGCCGCTGCCCCCCCGGTGCACGATAAATATATAGAGGTAGGAAAGGCCTTTGGACATTTTAGTCTTGAAGAATAGAGGGGCACCATTGCCAAAAAAAAAAAAAAAGAAAAACAAAAAAAAAAAGAGGAGGGGGAAAAAAGGATGAAAAAACCCAAACAATAAAACAAAAAAAATAAAAATAGGAATAATAATAAAATATAAAATATAAACAAAATAAACACACACCAATAAAAAAAACAACCACAACCCACGCGTGAAGCCTTTGCTCGTGAACGGAGGTGAAAGATTTGGAAGGACGCACAGTTCCAGAAGTAAACCAGCGGCTTCTTTCCTGTGTGTACCCCCACCATCGCCCAGCACTGGGGTTGTGGTGTCTTAACTCATTCATGCCTGTCGCAAATACACTTTCTGAAAAACCATCATTATTTATATATCCCTTCGGTTGTCTTGACATAGAAACAATTAAAACTCACATTCACGTTTCAGATAAGAGGGGAAAGGACCTCTCTGTTGCTACAGGCTTTTGCTCTAAGCATGTTTTTCTCTCTGTGATAATGCTGCATTTCCTAAATATAACAAAAAAATCACTGCAAATACCAAAGGGAAAAAAAAAATCATTAAATTTTTACCCCTCTGATACTGATATTTCTTCCTCCCAACATAAATAACAAAAAGACCAGAACCAGCAATAAATGTATGGGACAATTTCAGTTCGTAAGGAAATTGCTCTGGTTTGTAGGCTTCGTTTTTATTTATAAATTTCCTGAAGGACATCTGGTTTGACCATGATAAAAATGTAGTAAACATATTTGTACTAATTGCATAAACTTCTTTAAATATTGACTGTCCTCATCAAGTGAATTTCCCAAAGCACACTTCATCGTCTCGTAAAATACCACTTGCCATTTATAAGACCTTTTTTTTTTTAATAGAAAATAACATTTATTTCTATGAAATGGGAACACAGAATTACCTGTTAGAAACAGCAAGAAGTTTGCTACATTGGAACAAGAAAGCAATTTCCTTGCAGATCACAAATGAAGGAGGCTTATTAAACCATCATACACCATTGGCGCCGGGGTCCTACGGACAGTTACAAATATATCTACTTTCCAATGTTATATACAGATCGGAACATTTGGGGGGGTGGGCAGGAAGGAAAAGGCTTTCGATTTGACAATATGTTTAATCTAGATGCCTGGTAAGTATTACAATGCGCTGTCTAACCTTTAGCTTAACGTTAATACCAAGTTCACCTACGAGTTACATTAATAACTTAGATTTCCATTTTATAACATTATACACTTGCTAGTATACATATATATATGTATGTGTGTGGGGAAGAGTGTGTAGTGTGTGTGTAGCGTGTGTGCGCGCACACCCCACGACGCACCAAGGATATCCATGCTTATGGCCATAAGCAACAAAGAGTGACTCATGTCTGGACAATGAAAGTGCACCTTTATCACCGATTTAACACCTACGTCTGTCCGCGCCGGGCTCTGCACGCCACCATCGCCTGCAGGGGGGGAAAGAGGGGGCAGAAAGTCA